AATGCTTTTCTGAGCCCCGTAACATCGTAAAATTCCAACCGGCGTGATTTTACCGCGTCGCTTTCCCAGAGAGGAATGGCGCCACGCCGTGGTGGCCACTGTCCGAGAAGATTGCCGGGTTATACGCGTTTCTTAGTTATAGTGGAGTTCGAGTTGTTCGACGTAAGAAAGATTATGGACGTTTTATACAATTGAACTAATATAGCAGGACACGGTTGTACGATTACTCAACATCTGAAAATTCAGTCTGAAACTTTGCGTAGAATAATGAAACTACGCGTATTTTATAAGACACCGCAAGGATGGGAAATATCACGTGCTTTAGGCACAAGAGAAAATATCAAACTCACTAAAATATTTCAAGTTACAGTAGCGCGCGCTTCAGTTCCTACAGAATTACGACCAAACATTCTCAATTAACCGAATAGGTAATTTTATGAAATTTAACTTTCGTTTATCCTATAACTAGAACGTAGCTGAAAGCGAAAAACAGGGAGTCTGTGAGATAGAACGAAACGTCGTAGAAAATTAATGAGTAGAAGCGCTATTTTCAGTTCGAATATAGCCACGTTAATGATATCATTGTAATCGTAAGAATCTAAACAACCCAATTAAATCTTAAAACCCAATCTTATCCTATCTGACGCAACAAAATGACGCTCGAAGAATTTAGAAATTATGCTACGAGGGGCCCTGATTCTCGTCCTTGTTCTTCGCATCTTTCTTTCGTCTTTCTCTTCGGTTCGAAATTCGCCTAACCTCGGAATCGTGTAGCAGAGGATCATAACGAAAATTAGCGAGACGGCTACCGGTCGCAAATTCTGATGGACCCTCGTCGTTTTCGCCGAGGAACACTTTCGGTTTCTTCTTCGTGTTACACGGTTACAGATATTGAAGGAGCAACGCAGTAATCGTGGTAAATGTAATGCGGAGGTTCGTATGCAAATTGGCCCAGTTGTTATTACGCGGCGGCCGCGTACGAGCCGGCAGCCGAGATTGATAGATCATAAGGAGACGCGATAATGGAAAGCTGGGATGGAGTTGTTGAGTCGAGACTCGAGACGTCGTTGGGGATCGTTGGTTCGCGTTTCGTTTGGGCCCACGTTGAAATGTGGCGTCCGCAGCGCATAAAATAACCATGCGAATTTACCCCTACGCCGCTCCTGTAATATTGCTGCACGGCGGCGGCTGCTTAATATTGTACATGCTTTGCGATGGGTAGGCCTGTTTCTCCGCAACCGGGTAAAAGAGACCGAGGCTGAATTGTTATAGCCGCACAATGGGCATGCTGGGAATTTTTGATGCGGAGATTCGAGATGAATTTCTGGTGGGTTTGATCGATCGCCAAATATCGCGAAAATATCGCGAAATAAATCAGCAGGAAATATTTCAATTTTTCGACTCCGCCTGGTTTATACGCGTGACTGATTTTTATACGGCCAATTTTAACAACTGGCAGGCCGCGAACGCTTTAACTTCGGTTCCGATGAAGTTTTGTAAAGCTCCTTTAATTTTACAGATAGACAAAAGTTTTATTAAGAGAAATTGAAAAATTGCTTTTCGACATGTTAGAAGAAGCTGCAGGACAAATTTTTACGAATATCTAAGTTAGAAGAATATCGAATGACGTTTTGTGTCTGCATATTTTTTTTCTGTATTTAAAAACGTGTTAGAACTGCGATTTTCAATATACGTGGATATTTCAAGGTAGGGAACAGGTTCGTCGAATTCGAATTTATCTTTGATATTTGAATCATAGTATACCGAGGGATAGATATTGTTTTCTCTTTAAATATATTACTACGTTTGTCGTACATTTATATGGTCCTATTCAACGATTGCAAACTTCCACAACGCTATGCGGAGAATGTGTTACAGAATGTTATTCAACACATACATGTTCGCAGGAAATTTAAATTTGTCCGTGATGTTTCGAAAATAAGTTGGGGAATTATTATATTGGCAAATTGAATTGTGTATTACATATCGCGTTATAACGTTTTATTTCGTTATATTTAGTGAATATTTTAAGCACCATTAATGCGACTACCTCAAATTACCTGTTTGAATTAATAACCAAAATTTCAACCTTCTACATATATTCGTATAAATTAAGTTCTAATTATTCTCAGTAAACAATTCCGCATCTGTTTTTACTAAAATATCACAACTACCAGAATAATTATAAAATCACGTGTTTCGATCAATAAGAGAAACGTCAATATTTTAAGCATAAGTTGTAGTTCGCACATAGTTCTTATCTTATATTCTAGATATTTTTACAGCAAGCATCTCGTCCGATTTTAGACAATAAATCGAAGCAAATAATCGTGAGACAGAGATGCACCACTATCCATAGGAAATTCAGTATTGTCACAGTATTCTCCGGACGCATCGAGGCTTGTTTCTCGTCTCTCAGATAGATCCCCCCTGTGCTTTCTTAAAATCACACGGATCCGCGTACTCCCTCGGTTTCTGCTCGTATCACTCGATCAGGGAATACAAGGTGAATCGTATTTCCTATATGCGGTTTTTGAACTCGCATTCAGTCGGTGTCGCATAGCATAGAGAAAGAAGTAAAACCGAGTCGTCTGATACGGTATACACAAAATGATCCACCCACGTTTCGCGTTATCCTGACAAGAAATACTTTGTTGTTCGTGGACCGAAGTCGTTGGTCGCCGTTCCGCCCGTCTTCGTGCTTTTACCACTCTCTTCTCTCTCCGTCTTTTCCTTTTTTCTCTCCTCTTCATTTATATTTCACGTTTCACAACGTCTAACGCCTCCTTCGGATGTTAGCTCGAGCGTTTCCCCTGTCACCGCTCGCGTCCGGCCGTAAAACAAAGACGAGTGCCCCGTGTCGTTCGCTACGTTTATTCAAATGAGAGACTTGTAATTCGGGAATTCACCGCCCAGCTCACCGTGCATGTTGCCGAACGACGCTTCGTGTTATGCGCCAAGAAATTTCATCCCGGAATTCCAGCTCTATCCCCCTTGGCCGCCTTCCTCTCCGTCTCTACCTCTTCCTCGTCTTCGTCGAGTCTTCGCTGGCCCTTTTCCGCCACGCGAGAGACCGAGTCCTCCCTCGAAGAGCTTGCCTCGACGTCGCACGCTTTATCCTTGTCCCATATTTTTCCTACTTTACACGCAACTTTTTCCCTTGCCTCTGCGAACAATGGCACCCGGAACCACGTACGCTCCTGTTTATAAATATCAGCACACTTACATGAAATATCGTAAGATAAAGCATAAAAGTGTTTCGGAAATTATTAACCCCCAATTTGGTATCGTCTGATTTTAGACGAAGTTAAGAATCCATAATAACTTTAATTAATATAACTTCCATTTATCAAAGAACAAGATTTTTGTCCAATGTTAATATATTCGGTTGTGGATCATTACGAAAGTATAGTTCAATAGCGTGTATATATCACCTTGTATCTGGAGATTATTTTGTTATTTATTTCAAACAAAAAACTTCTGATAACTTTGCCATAGGTTTATTCGAATTATTTTTAGGTTTTCATATTTTCTCTTACAGTATTCTAAGATGTACGATATTTTCTCATTCTTTCATTATTACGTTAAAAGATACGAAAAGACTAATCTCGTAATATACAACAAGTTTGATCGTTCTGTTTAAGATTAGATTTTATGACGTCGAGGTTTAGAGTGGCTCGAATAATCCTATCTTACTATACGTTACTATAGTTATGAGTATATGTGAATGTTTTATCTGGTGGATTCAAGACCATCGAGCAGAGCCACTACCCCCATGGCAATCTGCAAATGTGGTTCGATGGAACGATGGCGACGAACGAATTCGACGAGATTAAAATATCGCGTCGTTATTATTAATAACGAGAGCGCGGAGTGAATTTTCTAATGGAAGCCGGACGTCTGATTTATTCGAGGCCGGGGGTGAGATCGATCGTGATTGCGATTTCAACGGCGCGTAGTATTTCGCCGGGAAAAGAACCACCGTACTATCGGTGGCCACGGTCTGCGTGAATTATTGGTCTATGAAGTGCAAAAATAAACGTTCGCTGGCTTCGTTACTTGCCAGCTAACCGTGCCAAGACGAATATTCACAGTAGACTGTTCCGAATATTTATCGTTCGCTATAACATGTATAACTGGGGTTATTTGGTCCTTTTTCTAATCATTTTGTGCTTGTTGTAGTTGTTGCGTGCGAGACAAGATCGTGTACATGATTTCTTTGATGCCTACGTCGCATCCTGGAAGCGATGCACCTCGTCTTTTAAAATATTTCACAAATAAAAGTACGGAATATCGTATTTAGGAATTTTTACGCAGAGAAATATCTTTATACATAGCTACAGAAATAAATAACAGTGACTACGCGTTATTAAAGGTTATTTTACAAAAATGGTGCTAGCATCTTTTCAAATAACAAATATTGATTTTTATGACCGCGTAAAAACAGATTAGCTTTATCAGAAAATAAAATGTTATTTCTCGTTAACATTTTATGGGAACATTATGTAAAGTACATAGACACGCTCGGTTACAATCACGACAACGGAACAGCACTTTGTGTGCGAAAAATATTAAGCTGAGGTCTCTTAAACGATAATTTACTGACTAATAATAATTGTAAATTGACAAGTTATGTCTCCTCCTTTGCAGTTTCATAATGTTTTTTACACACGATAATCGGATAATTTGTCTCCCTTAATGATATAAGTTGACATACGAACAGAAATTATCGCACAAACGTATTTACACCAATTCCACTGGAAACTTCTCCAGAAATAAAAATGCACACAGTCGAATCGACGGACAAAAGCTTCTACGAGATGCATAGTTACCGCAACTCGAACTTGCGGTAATGATTTCACGAGCGTCGTTTGGTGTACCACTTGCAGGATGTCGGTCGAGCAATTAGCTGAATCGACGCACTTTTTAAAATATGTTTACCTTGCATATAAAATATTTAAATTGCATCGCCGGTTTCGTGACTGCCGTGTTCCCAACAGGGTTGAAGCAAACCTGAAACTGGGTCGAAGTAGACGGCGAAGTGAACGAGCTCACAGGGCCTCAACAGAAACCGTGAAGGTGATGGAAGATTTCTGCAAACTTTGTCCCCGCCGTTAAGTTCAACTTCAAATGCAGACGGTATTGCTATCACCGGTCGATGGATCTCACGGAAATACTTCGACAAACCGACGTCAATTTTAGCCAACCATCATCCATACATTGGTAAATACAAAACCAGATTTAATCCAGTCTGTCTTCGAATCTGGCATTTCGTCGAACTTTCAAGAGTTTCGAGGAAAAAAAGATCGTATGTTTTTTTCGCCCAAAGGGCTGTTTGACTATAAAAGTGCAACTCCTCGAATTTCTTCGCCGCTTTTTGCTAAACGAAAATGGCTCGCGTATACGAAGGTAGGTCGATGGATCAAATATTTGGAAGGTTTAATTGCTAATTGGAGGTTTACAATTGAGGTTTCGTGTTCGGGTATAATTACATCTCTTGGTGTACTAGTTTGCAAGACGGGACAAAGTTGCGCCTTTTAAAAATTTTATCAACGTAGGAAATAGCGAAGTTCATCATGAAAACGAGTTTCATATTCCGACAACAAATTCATCGTTATCAGCACACATGTTGCATCGACGCATTTATCTAACAAGAAGTAACATCGCTACTGATACAATTGCTGCATTTTTATTTATTCCGCGTTTCGACACAATGCGCTCGACGATTAAACGTCGCTTTTCCGTGATTTCAAAACCATCTAAAGTCCTGTTCGCTATCCAAACGATCTTTCAGCAAACGTTTACTGCTAACGATTATTGATTCGTTCGTTAACGGCGTGAACGGCTATGCATAATAAAAATATAACGATTGGAAGCTAATATCAACGACGTAACACAGATAATAACTCAATTTGAATGAAATGCACTTTGCTCGCGCGCGGTTAATTTATCGACAGTGACGGTATTGAGCGAAGCTTGAATCGCAAAATGGAATTGCCCGTTGTACGATCACAAGACTGGTATTGTTACACGTCGTCTGAGAAAGAAACGCGGTGTTTCGTAAGGGGAGCACTTCAGACTTAAAAAGGATAAGAAGTCAAATGCGTGGCATGAATAAAGCATTATCAGTGTTCCTTTCGCTCGGAAGCGTGTTCTTTGACGTAAATGCACGCTTTTTACTCCATCGGGTGTCTTACATGCTAACAAGTCAGCAGGAAAGGTAGCACGATTTTACGAACTCGCAGACTCATTCCTTTTCTCATTAACACGATACTGCTACATACCGATCGTGATTTTTCTCGATGATTGCTTTCCCAGCGATCTTCTTTTGGCCAACCTTTTTCTCGATCGATGATTCTGGGAAAGTTGCCAATGAGATGCCATATCGTTTATTGCATATTACGCAAAGGAAAATATTTCCTTTAACTTCGACTTTAATTGTACAGCAAAAACTGTAGAAATATTTGTTCATATATAATAATAACATCAAATACTTCAATGTTTTATAGTATACAGAGAGTTCTGTATCGAAGTTCAACTTTACTTAAGTAGTCTCAAATTACAGATTTTGTTACTCGTACCAGTTTCCTTCTGAACCTTTTGAATTATCAGCAATCTTTTCTTTCCTCTTTTAATCATCACTATCTTTTTCCATTTTCCACAATCGTTCACCGTTCTTCTACTTAACTTTCTTATCCCTCTTCCAGAAAACTTCTCTCGTGACAAATCCTATTATTTTAAACTTAACCCTTACAAAAAAAAAAAAGATATTTACAGCTCTATAAATATCTCTGACCATTCAGCCTTAATCTGTTCACAACCGAAACAACTCAAATCGAGGTACATTTATGGACATCGAAGCAGTTTTTACAGAATTCCGATGTTCTCGATAAATGAACGAAAATTGGTAACAAATCTGTCTTTGGTTCTTTAGGTCACCGAAACCAGTAATTAAAGATCCTCGGTAACAAGAGAATCTGCCTTGTACGAGTGGTTTGTCTCGCAGTGGCAAACGCGAGCATTTGGTTTGTCCTATTTGTAAGCAACAAGTGTCTCGCTTCAATGAGAATGAATATTTAATCAAGACGCTGAGAAGTACGGTCCTAGAGGTTTTTATCGCGAAACTAAGGCAGAAGGGCAAAACCCTTCGACGCTTCGCGTTTCCAGGAATCCGCTGTCGCAGCTGTCGTCGTTCCGCGAATCTATAAAATACACACCTACTACGTGGCTGTGAATTAACTTCGTTTCGTTTATCGGCCGATTCATTATGCAATAATCGTAAATATCGTACCGTGGTATGATTTAAAATTAATATACACAGGTAATACGATCAGAACCGATGCGACTGGGGTGGCCGACGAAAATTGCGTAAATTTAACCGGCGAATTAAAAGTAATTAACCAAACCCGCTGATTATGGTGCGTGCAATTTTGTCACGGTTCCCGTAATCCGGTCACGTTTCCTCGTAAATTCATGCGAGACTTTATCATCAGGCAATATCGTCACTTGTTACGTCGTTCAGCAAAGTGGCCCACGGGTTTTTTACAGTCTCTCCGGGAATGGTTGCAGAGATGATCGACAGCCAACCGTGAGAGAAAAAGTCGATGCAAGTCGGGCTCCTGTGTAGTCATTACGTAAAAATGCGACAGTTTCGACCAGGAGGGAAACTTTCGCGACGCTCGAACGAGAAATGTTGGGAATGCGTGAAAATGTGTTTCAGCGTAATGAAAGATTGTTTGGTTTTGCCTTGCGGGCAGTTCGTCTCGTTGAAATTATACGTGTTCACCGTCTCGTGTTTTTTAATTTGTAAATTAATATGTCACAATTTTATTAATGTCCATTTTGTTAACTATCATTTTGTAGCAGGGAGTTTCACGTATTGTATCAAGGAACGTAGAGGTTTAATTAATTAAACCGTAATTAATATTCTTTTGATATACAGCCTAATACATTTCTGCAAAATTGACTAGTCCATACGGGTCCCTTCTTTATCAAGTTTCAAGCGAAATAATAATTCTTAATTGTCTTCGTAATTTCTTAAGGATTTCTCGAGATTATTTATATTTACGCAAGCGTCGTGATGCTTATGAACGGGGCTGTACGTATCTTGCAGAAACAGAACAAACCCAAGAGATAGAACGATGGAAATTGATAGTCACGATTCGAAATCGTCGAGAGTTAAATCGACGGAATCCTAACGTTTGTTTTTCATGTTGGCTGTGGTTCGATGAAGACAGCCGGCGCTTGACGAACTGAACCGTGCAGGACTCGCGTTACACAAATAGAAGGAGAAGAAGATGAAGAAGGCAAGATTAGCCAGTGGTATTTCCACGGAGAGGCGAAAGCTCGGATGCCACGACGAACAATTTGGCTCTGTAATTGCGACGAAGGAACAAATTGAATTCCTGTACGTATACGTCCGTACGTCCGGTTCTCCATCCGAGATAAACTCGAATAGGGGATCGCAATCTGCGACAGACTTTTCCTCCCGATCGATCCCGAAATCGCTCGTTGTCGTCGAATTAACTCGACTCAATTTCCACACTCTGTAATCCTAAAACAATCTACGCGCGAATAAACGGCTGTTTGGTTAAGACGAAAAGTTACCATCTTTCTCTCGATTAACCATCGTCAGCGACGGAGCAACCTTTCGATCCAGTATCGATCGAAGCATATCGATAGGCGTAAAGAGGAAAGAAAAAATAACGCAGAATATAAAGAGAAAAAAGTTAAGAAGAAGGAGAATCGAAGCGAAGAGGAGAAAGAAGGGTGAGATGAAGAGAAGACGGAAAGAAGGAGACTAGCGGGTGGCATCTTTCGACGAGAGGCTCCTCGAGATAGAGGGGGATGCCACGAAGAGAGCAGTTTGGCCCTGTAATTACGGGCAAACAGCGTGGCCAGAGGGAGACAGGGCGGGAGGCAACCCGACGAACCCTATAATCTTGCTGGGACCGCCCCTTGTTTGCTTGTATAATTACCCTGTGGCCCTCCTTCGATGGGGCCTCGATGAGGCCCCGGTTCCAATCCTCGGGTCCGTTCGTCATTTCGTTCGTTCCACGCTTCGGCCATAATGCCGATATCATTACCTAATGCATCGCGCATGTATTCTGTTGCATGTGCCAGCGTTGGCATGCCCCTCGGCCTCTTCGCGATCCTCCGTCGCTTTCGTTTCCTCCCACCTTCTCGTTTCTTTCCTCTTCTAACCCCTTTTTCTCCTCCATATCGTTCCCTTCTTCTTCTTCTTCTTCCTTTTCTTGCCCATCTTCTTCCTCCTCATAACCCTTCCTCTCTTCTTCTTCGACGACGACTTCCTCTTGGCTTTACATCGACTCTGAGTATCCTCTCCCATCCCTCGACTCCGCTGCTCACCCTTAGTCGACGATTTCTCAGGATAGACGTAATTGGCTTATTTGCATTGTTCCGTCTGTGCCTGGGCTCCATCGTTCGCGATGCATCATTCGCGAGCCGAGAAAGAGGGAACGATTTTTCCTTGCAGCAACGTCGTTGCGTCACGACGCGACGCTACGAACAGAGTGCACTTTGTATATGCATTATAGTGCTGGGAGAGGCGCGTGCTGGGAATATTCGCGAGATCGTGGACGAGAAATATGGAAATTTATGCGAGAACGTTCGGATTTTACGGATCATTAAGGGGATATGGAGCGTCGACGGTACGACGCGAGGATCTTACTCCTCCAGCGTCAGCTTGTTGCCGGCTTTGTTACCCCCCTTAGTGATTGATGAGCGAGAATGACGACCGCTGTGCTTGATTCACGCGTGTAATTTGTAACTGTTCTTTTAACGGTTTCCATTGTACTAGCCTTCGACTTCCGACTATTTACTTACCGATGTTCTGTTCCAACCATCCTGCAAACAACGAAGCTTATCAAAGCGAATGCAGTCCAGTCATGCACCTTAAAGTCTCAATCACCAGTGATATCCATTATATCGTATCGTTCCTTTCTTATTTCCTTCAACGTGCTATATCAAACTGCAAGAAAGTTGTCAGATTTATGTAACAATTTGGCGCGTACCATGGAACTTGGAATATTTATTATCGTTCTGAATGTATTATTTTGTTCGTTTATTATACATATAGCAAGCCATTGAATTTTTGTTAGTTGCCTACGGTGTTACTCTATAGAAAAATTACTTCTATATTTCGCTATATTATATCGGCACATTAAGCAAGAAGCATTCTTTGATTTTATGACTGCAA